GTAAGATGTTAATAATTTTAAACGTTATTGCTAAGTTGTCGTCCTATTGATATGTGTCTTTGTCTTTTGTATTAAACAAAGGGGAGTCGATTCTAAAGACAGCTTGAAATATCGTAAACATATACCAATAGGTCAACGTAATCATAATCCAAACTCTACTTCAATAATACTAGGGCAAAATATGAACAACAGAAAGATTTACACCGAGACTCCTGAAAAACGTGCAAGGAGAATAAGACCAGGTGTTCCGGAAGAGTAAGCGTCTTCTGCTTCATCGACAACACCCGCCATATAAACCTTGGTCAGTCCTAGTAAGTAATGTCATGTTCTCAAATGAGAACAAGGTATACAACAACGGAACCAAAAGCCAATCTAACGAGCGTCAAACACGTCCAGCTTCATATCGCATAATGAAAAAGGAGTATTTCTCAATGATATTGTTATGAAAATACAAAACAAAAAAAAACAAAAAATTCTAATCATTCCAATGAAAACATGCTGGAAAATGAACATTCATAATATTCGTAGTGTTGAAGTGATTATATAGATGGATAATATTTAAATCATAAAGAAAAAACAAAAAAACAAAATTTGTTGAAACATGTAGTCACAAAAAACATCAGAGTTTCCGGATATATCTATCGTGAATCGTAATGAACATTCTTATTTGAATATTAAAACCCGAAAAAGAAAATAAATTGCACATGAAAAGTGTATATATAATGTGTGTAAAAAACCACTCTGAAATCTAGTTGTTGAGAATCCCACCTTCCCTACCCCCTCCGCTTATTGTAATATAAGATCACCATAAATGCGTCCGAGACGCCATAGATATTGCATACCAAACAACTAGGATATTTTTTCAAAACTCGAATCAATACAAAAACTAATGGCAAAATATGACAAAGCAAATAAATGCAATTTATAGAGGCGAATGACGTCAAGAGATGCTTATCACTATACCAGGTTTATCTAGACTGTGGAAGATATTACATTTGTATCCTGAATATTAGTGATGTTTTAGCTGACGACACTATATGTCGACCCTATCGCGGATAATCATGTGGACATGCGTGGATTTGACTGTAAATCTAGACTTAGGTGTCAATAAGTGTAAATAAAACATTCCGATACAACTATTTGTTATCAAGTTTTAAAGGATAACGTTGATCATATTCTATAAAGCGTAGCTGTCGTTCTTGTTTACTTCAGAATTAGTGAAGCCATCAGTTTAAATACACAGCACGGAACACCACAGGATTTAGAAATTTAGATAAGAAATATCATTATGTTTATCGATCAAAATATTTACAGTGTGACCCCATATTTTCTTGTCCCTGGAAGTCTATTCACCAAGCTGATCCGTCTGTTCGGCTTGAGTTCGATAGGCAGATTGACACAATATTACTTTCAATAATTTTGTGTGTATTATTTCCAATTGTGAAATTTTATGAGTAAAGAATATGAAAAAAATATGAATGATATTTCATATATTTTTCATATTTGTATGTAAAAGTTTGGTTTCGTCAAGTAAAATCTTGACATTCATTGATAAAAGTCACTCGCATTCAATATGTAAAAATATTTTAAAATACATTTATACAAATGTTGTTCCTCTTTATTATCTATCATTCATATTCTAAAATAAAATAAATTGTTCATTTCTAATTCAGTTATGAATTCGAATAATATAGCAATCTTACTGAGCATGTCACTTACAAATGAAAACTTGTGTGTATACCCAGTTTGATAACACGTATATATAATGTCTGAAACGAGCCACTTGAGGACGTGGCTCTGAATATCATTTAAGCTCATTAAAACGTTCAATTGAGAGTGTCGAACCTGTTCTGTATAATACAAATATAATATTGAAATCCAGACTTTATTCTGTCAATAAGTTAAGATTCAGGATAGCAATAACATAAAGGGAGCTTATTGACAAAGTAAACTCAGCGCTGGATCGGCTCAATTAGTAGAGAAACATGGCAGTATTGTTGGCTATTGGACGGGTAATTCATTTTCGATATTTACCGAGATGTACAAGTTTGGTCGAAGTTTTCCCCTCTTAAGCATGTTTCATGTGAAATCAACACCACCATTTTAGTAGTTTGTAAACATAATGGGATTGTAAACACAATTATTTGTGGAGGTTTGTCTGTGAATTGACCGAAAACGACCCCGTAATGGTCAACACTAAATCTATCTTACCTCAAACAACAGGTTAAATACATATATTCAGTAGTCAAACTTAAATGACCACTTCTGTACCTTTAATTTATAACATCACGTTTTTATGTTCTATTCCCCCAGTCTGTGTGTGGATGATTGCCACACGCGTGAATATTCTTCCATTCTTATAAAAAAAACCCCACTGTGATTTGATTTTGGATGTTACACTCTCCGAGTTAGCAAAACAGACAACGAGATCAACAAATACCGATACTGGATGTAAAAGAAATATATTGAAGTAAATTTGAAATGTGAATTTATTGCAATGTGACCTTGACGACTAATATGAGATGTAAAATGGAGTGTAAAGATTAACCTTGTATGCGGAACCTATACATTTGAAAGTTCTACAGAAATCAGGTAATGTGTATCTTAACTTTATATATGTCAAATAAATAAAAATTAAATATTATGTTATTCATAATTGACCTCTAGATTCTGAAAGTCGATAGGATTCTTTTGTATGTACTATTACCCAAACGTAGTATAATATAGTTTTTAAAGAAACATTTATATTGATTATTTTTGTTTATAATCTTTAAAATATATGGAGAAAGGAAAGGTGTCAATTTGAAACATAATGGGGTCATTCAGTGATGAAAAACTTATTTCTGCAAGAAGATACCTTTAAAATAATCAAGAAAATTCCTACATGTCAACATGGTCATAATCCAAACTGATATTCCATAACACTAGGGTTAAATATGAACAAAAGAAAGATTTACAAGGAGGTTCATGAAAAGTTTTAAGGATAATAAAACCAGAATAAAACCAGGTGTTTCGGAAGAGGAAGCGTCTTCTTCTTCATTGATGACACACGCCAAGTAAACCTTGGTCAATCCAAGAAAGTAATGTCACGTTTTTAAATGAAAACAATGTATACAGTATTGTATAAAAGACACACAAGTGAATTATACTTTTTATTAATTTAGAGTTTGTTACAATAGAGCCAAATAATGAATTAAACTGCATCATCAGCTGTTTTGTCCTTCTAGGACTCGTCGGTGATGCCAAGGCATGAATGCCTAAATTGCAACGGAACACCCAGGCAAACTAACAAACATCAAACACACCCAACTTCATATTATACAGCTGTATTTAGTATTATATTTAAAACATTACATTTTCCCTTAAATATTTTAGAGTGAAAATGAAAGAGGTTTAAAATGAAAACTGCAGTTGTTGAATTCCAGACAAGATCTGATGGAAAGCAAAATATATACTAGGCAAAATGCTCACTAGCTCTCCGACCACCTTCCTTCCTCCACCAGGTTATGTGATAAGAAATTAATCTTAACTTTCTGATTGTGACCTCCTGTATAAGTTTTTAACATTTAAAACAACTTTGACGTAAAGACCAGATAACTAAAGAATTATATTTTGACTTGTATGTCGAGTAAGGAATTAGGAATGCTTGATATATCTTACAAGGGAAGTTTTATTTTAAAAAAATGAAAATCAGACGCCAAGTTCTGTCAAAATTTAGTAAATCAATATACCAACAATTTTCCATGGATTAAATACCTCTAGCTTATCATTAGCTGGTTGTAATTGTTTTTTTTTTATCTACGTATAATGATAAAATGAATTCTTTAGATATTCACATGATACATCATATGTGACACAAACTACCTTGCAATCGGTAAATCTGAGAGCCTTGTAGTGTATAAACGTATGTTGTATCCCGTTACTTACCAATATCAGATACCCTGCAGAGACAGGCGTTGTATTTATGAACATAAACTAATACCCATTTCTGACGGCACGACAGGTAAATTGTTCCATATTCTTTCTCTTTTTACATTCTTTTCAAATCCCCCAAGTTCACATGACCTCGGAATTTTCGTAGCCTAAAACGATGCAAGGAATAATGAATTATCTGAGTTTGTACAGCAGCGTTTTCTATGACGTAACGTTGTATTTTATACGAAATTTGTAAATGACGCAACACTGTATATTATGCTTTATTCTGTTTTTTGGAGGGAGGGGGGATGTGAGAGGATGGGAGTGTTTATTGTTTTGTCTATTTAAGCATTTCCGAACAGTACAGATACAAAAAGACTTATGCAATGCAGATTAAAATTGAAAGGACAAGTCCTTACATTGAAACATTTGACATAAACGTGTTCATTATTGATACAGTAATTGTTTGAAAGCAAAACAAAACAAAAGAAACCAAACAAACATGCCAGGATTTTAAAACTTCAGTTTTATTGAGAATCTTCCATATAAATCACATATCAATGCAGACGAAGATTATAAGTAGCGTACTTGGTGAGAAAGTAAATATTACATCGCGTACTTAAAAGACGGAAACACAAAGAACAAAACATTTCGATTGCCAAATCGTAACGTGACACCTTACTATCGCTAACGACTCAGGTGAAACAATAATGATATTTAAACAAAAAACACCCACCTGGACAATCAACCAGGTCAAACTAACTGACGGTCCATTGTCCGGAAATTACTGAGGTTTCACATTCGTGTCAAAAACCGAAAGGTCCTTGTTGAAAGTGAACTTCATTTTCTTATAATTATACATATATTACAATATAATGTTATAAGCACTGCACATGTAAATTAGTGCGTGCCTTACGGTCTTTGAAAGCAGTTTAGGAAGAAAGGTCAGGCCATTTAGTAATATACAGTTGCCGGTATCAGGAAATGTGTGATTATCAATAGCGGATCTGTGATAATTCAACTGAATTATATTGCGTAATGTGTTTATAAGAAACATAAATTTTATGAATCGTCAAAAATTCGAAATGGATGCTGCAGAATATTCGACTGTGAAAGAAAACTTGAGACAGGCGTCAATTCGTAATGGATTCGATGACGTTGGCGATGTCTTTTTCGATGGTAAGTTATAAATATTATACCAAGGATAACTGCCGGCGGTTTTTGGCAGCCCGTAGTTCATTAATGCTAACATTGCTGTATGCTATATTTGTCAGGTTAAACTCAACAACAGTCTTAAATATTGCCTTTGTAAATATTCTACAACGAGGAAAACAAAAAACATCATTGCCAGCGTAATTTTTTTAACATCATAAAAGGATTTTATAACATCGTTAGCAGCTATGCGCAAAACGTTTCTTTAATGACAAACCGCAGAAAGTATGAATGTTAAGGTAACAAGGCTTTCAAATAATACCTTTTTAACATCAAATGTATCATTGTATTGTACACAAACAGACAAATTATAGCTAATTACATACGCTTGATATAATAATACCTTACGATGTCATCAATCAAAATATTTAACAAACTTTCGAAGTTAGAATGAACTTTTAAAAATGTCTGTGATGGCACTCTCTGTGTAATTTAGACTTGTATTGAGCTAATTCGGCCTTGTCATCCGTAGTTCTTTTCATAATCAGTGTCCTACAAAACAGAATTCCCTTGTAAGGTTATCGACACTGCACTGTCTGACGTATATCTACAACACCGATCTGTAAAGGAAAGGTCAGTCATAGATAAAGATAAACATAGAAGACAAAATTCATCCTTACGAGAATATTATTTAGCTTCGTTACTGAACATTTCTCTTTAAACGTTGAGTATTTTTGCGGCTTTATTACAGAAGAACAATGAATTGACATGATTAATTCATTAGAGCTGTTTATTTAAAATAGGACTGATAATACGTTTTCTGCTAAACGTTAAGAAATAATCTGACACACTGAATGATGAAGACAGAGAATTTATTATTCACATTTGTTAACTTTACCGGGGATGTATCATCTTAAAATAATGAGGATTCAGTTGAGGTTAGGTTTAGCTTTTCAAAAAACACGAAGTAGTAACAGCACTAAGAAAGGTAAGACAATTTTGAAGTTTGAAAAATGAAACAGAATCGGGATTTCGGAGGAATGTCAGTCCCGATTTTATCATGTGTTTTGACGGATCGTTTTTGTTGTAATATATAATGTTACAGTACTGTTTCGTTATTATCAAGTTTTGCCAATTCAGATTGATTTTTTAATTGGATCCTATCCTTTTGTTGTCATCTTTACAGTTATAAGTATAGTCAATCACTACGTAAAGTCAGAAGAGTATACTGAAGAAAAATAGTATTTCTCTCCCAAGTTTTGTATCTATTATTTCAAGCCATTTATATAGATGGACTACTGCCAGGGTTGAGACCATGGGTTCAGTTTATCCCAAAAATATGTCCTACAGTAAAAGGGCTCGAACAACTCATTCGTACACTTCTAAAACAAAGAAATATTACCTACAAATATTCCATACATAAGTTAAAATACATAAATATTATTCTCCACTTCATACTCCACACTATCTCGTATAAGACATATTAACAAATATATTGTATAGCCTACTATAGCCTAAATTCATGTTTCACATTGTTTCCAGCTGTGTGAAAAGTAACTTATGCTTGATTTGTCAGTATATACCAGAATCATTTGTCAAACTTTTTGATTTGCATGTAAGCAGCGTTTTTTTAAATCGTTTTTCCACATTCATTCTTTTCAATGTAACGGGTTCAATATCTTATTTTTTTAAATAAAAAAATAAATATATGTAAAAAAGAAAAAAAAACCAACACTAACTACATTTTACTGTTATGTTAGTGAAATACCAGAAGCTATTTTATTTCCTCCAGTTTATCAACTGTTATTAGTATAAAAGCAGGTCGAAATGAACGACAACGTAGATATATACATACAATGTGTAACAGGTAAATAAGGCTAAAACGACCCTGGTCAGGTTTATACTGACACACGCCTGAAGTGCTAGTTGCCAACAAAGGCGTCATTGTGAACATGTAAGGCGAACAGTCTATTTAAACATCTACAATCTGGTGTGTGGTACGCTGGTCTAATGTCCAGGGCGAAAATTTACGGTTCGCCTGTTACTAATTTTTAACAATATGTAACATTAAAAACCATAAAGGTTTTGATTATTAACATGCTACACGTGTGGAATTTACTTTAGCGGGAGAAACATTTTTAGTAAATTTAAAATTCATTAATGAAATTAAGTCTTGAAATATGATTCGTCGACACAAACACGCGTTCACGCGATCAGTTTCTCAAATTACACTCTTAACTCATTGATTGATTACTATTTCTTATGTCATTTACATTTCACTGAGTAAAACTGATGGATAAAAGTTTTGCTAATATCACCCCTATCTTTGTAAACATGTTTGACTCATTACTTATATTGCTTTACCTTTTTTCAATGAAACTGGATCAGGAACATACCTAGAATATGTTTAGTAGGTGTTGCTGATGAAGCAAAAGACGCTGACTCTTCCGGAACACTTGGTCTTATTTTCCTTTTATTTTTTCAATAAATCTTTCTTTTGTTCATTTAATTGTATATAATACGAGACTCGTGAAACGAGTAGAAGTTATTTTCTACCACAAGACGCTGTATTATTCCACTTTCTTATGCCACTGATTAATTGAATATAAATACAAAAACCATCCGTTGTGGTTTGATGTTGGTTTTGAAACGACTCGTTATATTCATATTTTTTTTCTGTTCTGATGGCAGAAAATATTTTTCTTAACATCATTTTATGATGTTAGTATATATAGATATATACGCGAGCGCGTGTGTGTGTGTGCGTGTGTGTGAGTGTGTGTGAGTGTGTGTATCCTCTGACTACTATGTCAGATTATACAATCTAGCTAAAACAGATTTAATTCCTTTTAAAACCACTGTAAACATTGCCTGAACACAAGCCTTTATGATGTTAGACTATATCCATTACTAATAACAACGATCTTATAAAAACATTTACATAATACTTTCAATAACATTTGTCGTAACAAATGTATCAAACTGTTTGTGATTTAACATAAGATAAGCATAGCTATATATACCTCGTGCTTACATCTAATGTTTGTCTAAAGGAATGGGAAAACAGAAAGCTTCTACAAAACAGACATGTAATACAATAAAGTGTATTCCAAACAACACCCATCATAGAATGCTCCACTTACGATTTCACTCTCATATATATTGATGACGTCTTGTCTGTAAATAACAAACGGTTTATCGACCAAGTCCATCGTAAATACCCGCTAGAATAGGAAATCAAGGGCACAATAACCTCTTCTACCGGTTCAGCCGCTTAACTTTTCTACAATGAAACCAACAGGGCTTGCTTTCCACCAAACTGTGTGGTAAACGTAACGATTTCGATTTTCCTATTGTAAATTACCCATTTCTGAATAGAAAAAGCCTAAAAGTCCGACTCAGGGAGTTGAAATATCACGTTTTCGGTACAAAATGCCGGCAACTGATAGCTAAACTCACAACATAGGGTTTCAAAAATTGGATGTTAATGAAAATTATTTCACGGTCGTTATAGTGCTTTCAATCTTTCATTTCAACAACGTGTGATGTTCTTTGTATGTCTGGTTGGTCATTTATTGGTTACCTAGTTTTCATTTTAGAACGTGACACTTACTCTTCCGAAACACCTGGTCTTTTCATGGGTTTCCATTTAAAGCTTTAATTATGTTATGTTTTGCCTTATTTTATTGAATTTGTGTTTGAATGACGATTCTGTTGACACGTCAGTGTCAAAACCATTGTATATAACTATATAATTTTAGTGTATATGAACCAACAGTGTATATCTAACACCAGTCCAAACCATTGTATATAACTATATAATTTCAGTGTATATGAACCAACAGTGTATATCTAACACCAGTCCAAACCATTGTATATAACTATATCATTTCAATGTATATGAACCAACAGTGTATATCTAACACTAGTCCAAACCATTGTATATAACTATATCATTTCAGTGTATATGCACCAATTGTGTAATTACAAATATAAAATAAGTTTTAATTGCACAAACAGTAACACTAGAAATAGTCGTTATATTTACAAACATTAAATACACTGAAACCTGTAGTAACACAAACTTTCTGCAGATTCATTTATGATGCTTGAGTCTAATTTTGCTGTACTGTATCTTCCTGTAGAAAACCCATCAAACATCGTTTCCTTTCATAGCACTCCAATATCTAATTTCTAAAACAAAACAATATTAAAAAAATAACCTAGTCTCTCAATTAGTGTTATCCAATAGAGATCCCTGTTGTCATTGTCCTTTAATATCTAACTTTCATACAAAGATAAGAATGTATCCTAGATGAGATTTGATAAATTGTTGAAGCACGTCTTGGTCGACATATGTGTTCATCTTCAAGATCACTGCAAAGAGAGATGAATCAGGAGAACATTGTAATCTTAAGGTTTTAAGGTTTATTACGGAAGTTTTAGTGTACTCTGAAAGGAGATGTCATTTTAAACCAAATCGAACCGTAGTCAGTATTAAATAATGTCTATTAATGTCTAGATATTGGTAATATTCAGTGATCATCATTGTGACATCGTAACGTAGCGACACATTTCATTCAGTCATTTAAAATCACTCGAACAAATTCGAAATCTCTAAATGTTTATTTGATGGGGTTTTCATTTCTTTAAAATGCGATAAGATAAGAAAACATTTGGAATATGTCCTAGTTTTGACAAAATATTTTACAAGTTTATACAGCATGAGGGATCAGTGCCACATAATGTAAGTTACTCTATCTTAGCTTCGCCATATCAGAAAGCCTCATATTATGCTGTAGGTTATATTCAATTTACTAGATACCATCATGAATATCAATATTCATAAGTCATTGTACGTATACATTTGAAACAAGTAAGCTAGTAAATGATACTAGAACATCATGTCATTCCATTCCTTAGTCAAAATTCGTAATACGCAGATTTACCCGTACCGCCTGTTATCAACTTTCCTATAAAGGATAAGTTTTATACTTTAAATGCCTTGTGAAGTTCTCATTGACTTT